TGTCTACCTCCAGCCGGCACTGGCAAGACCTTTAATCTCATTGCCTTAGTCCAGTGCGGCTGTTAGCGGAGGTGACTCCAAGAGACACAGCGAGCCGTCACATGATGATTTCATAACAGGAAAATACACCACAAACCACATCAATCCCCGAAATGTGCCGACTTTCACACCTAGACCACCTCCAATAACAAACACCGGACCTCCCCGGGGGCCTCCATGTCACTGGTCCAGCAGCTCTCCAGAAGGTGGAGATGAAGATTGGCTCCTCGTTGGACTTCAACACAATTTGAGTTTTGAATTGAAAACAAAATTTGTAAGGAGGAGAAATGTGGGAGCTGTGAAGGTGTCATGGCGGAGCTCTGCCGCAGCCCCTGACTGTCACCTGTAAGACATCCACGTTCTCCAACTGACAAAAATAAATTCCTCCACCAAGAATGCCGTGCCACGGTGCACCGCCGCACCCGCCGCTGTTCTGTCCCATCCCCCCAAATCTGTCATTTAAAGGAGGATTGGTGTATGTGCAATGTCGCCCTCGAAGCTGCATGAACAGACCCCTCCCCCACTATCTTGCATCGGTCCATGTTCCCCGTGGCGGTGCACCATGTTGGGCCTTATTAGTCCTGCAAATGGCCAGAATTGATTACCAATATTCCCCTCCCCCGCATAGACTATTGTGATTCTGATTGGTGAGATGAATCCGGTCATGCCGGCCAATCCCTGGTCTTCGCTGGCGTCACATGTGCGGAGCAGCCCGGCATTGATTGTGGTGTGTGTGTCCTCTCGTATTGATGACTTTCTCTTCATTCCCCCTCAGCTGACGTATCTGCCCCCGCCATGGGGGGATTGTAAGGACACGCCCTTCAAATCACCCTACTACCCCAGCTACAGTATAACGGCCTGCCGCATCGAATGCGAGACCCGCTACATCCTGGAGCAGTGCAAATGCCGCATGGTCCACATGCCAGGTGAGGGGCGCGGTGTCATGTGGGCTGTTATTTGGGGTATCATGTGGGGTGTCATGTGGGGTGTCATTGGAGGTGTCATGTGGGGTGTCATGTGGGCTGTTATCTGGGGTGTCATGTGTGGTGTAATTGGGGGTGTTATCTGGAGTGTCATGTGGGGTGTAATTGGGGGTGTTATTTGGGGTGTCATGTGGGGTGTCATCTGGGGTGTCATGTGGGGTTTCATGTGGGCTGTTATCTGGAGTGTCATGTGGGGTGTAATTGGGGGTGTTATTTGGGGTGTCATGTGGGGTGTCATGTGGGAGGTCATGTTGGGCGTCATGTGGGAGGTCATGTTGGGCGTCATGTGGGAGGTCATGTTGGGCGTCATGTGGGAGGTCATGTTGGGCGTCATGTGGGAGGTCATGTTGGGCGTCATGTGGGAGGTCATGTTGGGCGTCATGTGGGAGGTCATGTTGGGCGTCATGTGGGAGGTCATGTTGGGCGTCATGTGGGAGGTCATGTTGGGCGTCATGTGGGAGGTCATGTTGGGCGTCATGTGGGAGGTCATGTTGGGCGTCATGTGGGAGGTCATGTTGGGCGTCATGTGGGAGGTCATGTTGGGCGTCATGTGGGAGGTCATGTTGGGCGTCATGTGGGAGGTCATGTTGGGCGTCATGTGGGAGGTCATGTTGGGCGTCATGTGGGAGGTCATGTTGGGCGTCATGTGGGAGGTCATGTTGGGCGTCATGTGGGAGGTCATGTTGGGCGTCATGTGGGAGGTCATGTTGGGCGTCATGTGGGAGGTCATGTTGGGCGTCATGTGGGAGGTCATGTTGGGCGTCATGTGGGAGGTCATGTTGGGCGTCATGTGGGAGGTCATGTTGGGCGTCATGTGGGAGGTCATGTTGGGCGTCATGTGGGAGGTCATGTTGGGCGTCATGTGGGAGGTCATGTTGGGCGTCATGTGGGAGGTCATGTTGGGCGTCATGTGGGGGGTCATGTGGGGGGTCATGTGGGGGGTCATGTGGGGGGTCATGTGGGAGGTCATGTGGGGGGTCATGTGGGGGGATATATAAAGCTGCTGTGACCCATTCCCTCCCCTCAGGTGATGAGAAGGTCTGCACCCCCGAGCAGTACAAGGATTGCGCAGACAAAACTCTGGATGAAATCGGTCAGTATCACCATTGACATGATTATTGTTGTACTGGATGTATATGGCGCCCTCAGACTGCGCGGCGTTGTACAATACCATTCAATACAGGAGGGTGAGAAGAGCCCTGATCCTGAGAGCTTACAATCTAAAGGGGAGGGGCAAGTGATGCAACAGGTAATACCTGTGGGGGGGATGGGTTATGTTGAGGCGGGACAGACTTCCCTGAAGAGATGAGTTTTCAGGGATCCTATAAATGTGGACAGAGGAGGAGATAGCCGGGCAGATTGGGGTAGAGAGTTCCAGAGGATGGGAGAGGCTCTGGAGAAGGTGATGAGGGGTGTAGAGCACGGGGAGGAGCGGAGAGGACGGTTTGATGACGTTGGTGGTTTTGGCATACCACCCCGATGGAGGACCTTCTGGTGTGCTCGGTGGAGGACCTCTCTACAGGTATCATTGTCTTGGTCGGATGACTCATAATGATGATGTCACACACGGGGGAGGGGCTGTTACACCTTCTTCCTGGGAGATTCCTTCGGCTTTGCCTGTTTATTACGCTCCTCCACTCTAGATGCGACTTAACCCCTTCATTCCCGGTGAGGAACGCCGGCAGTTGTGACCAAACAACAATATCATCTCCCCCGGCCCGTCACACCGTCCTCCTGGGGGGCCCGGGTGCAGATCTGGGGGCCCTCACACGGGGAGATGAGATGGGGTAATGGGCGGGTTTTGGATTTTTTTTGGACATGGACTGATTTTGGTAGTCAGATGGGTTTAAGTAGGTCGGTGAATTATGGAAGATAGACAGGTCAAGCTGAGGTTTGGGAGTCGGATGGGTTTTGGTAGTTGGGCGGGTTTTGGTAGTCGGGCGGGTTTTGGCGGTTGGCCGGGTTTTGGCGGTTGGCCGGGTTTTGGTAGTCGGGCGGGTTTTGGCGGTTGGCCGGGTTTCGGGAGTCGGGCGGGTTTTCTAGATTACTGATCAGTTCTCCTTTTTCGCCCAGACCAGGAAAGTGGTGATTCGGTGTGCACCTGCCAGACGCCGTGTAAGATGGTCCGCTTTGGGAAGGAGTTGTCCATGGTGAAGATCCCCAGCAAGGCCTCCTCCGCATATCTGGCAAAGAAATACAACAAGACTGAACAGTACATTGCGTGAGTTTCCCACCCGGCTGTGACCGGGACAGACACGCCGGTAACGTGCCGCAAACACAACACAACCAACATTGGCCGGATGTCGGCTGCAGATCTTCTCCCCCATGAAACGGGAAAACAAGGGGCTATTGCCTAAAAGTTTCCAACGTAGTTGTCCTGTCCCTCTGAGGGCCCCATGTTGTAGGACTGCGACGGTCATACTGGGGGGGCCCCTTACATATCCCACAAATAACTAAAATTCACAGAATTAGGAGATCCGCCAGAAGGCAACTTGAAGGACCATTAAACAATGACTCCGCCCCTTGGGGAGCCCCCCCGTCTCTTATATACTCTGCTGTATACTGGGGACGGGATTCGGGGGGGGGGGAGGGGCGAAGGTTCGGGGTGACGCGAGACTATTCGCCAACGTGCTGAACTAATGTGGCTGTTTGGGGGGCAGTTACATGGAATGTGTATGTAGAAAGATCTTCCACCCACCATCTCACGTCTATGACCTTACCATGACCTTGCCATGACCTTACCATGACCTTGCCATGACTCACAGCGGGTTGTCTCTCTCGTCTTCAGGGAAAACATTCTCGTGTTGGATATCTTCTTTGAGGCTCTGAACTTCGAAACCATTGAACAGAAGAAGGCGTACGAGGTGGCCGGCCTGCTGGGTAAGAGTCCTCCTTGGAAGGTCCGATCTGGTATGTCGGTTATGTGTGGAGCGATAATCTGCAGAGCCTCATACAGGTATACAGGACATCTCCCCTCCGATCCCTAGGGACACATTGGGCTTCTGGGGACACATTGGGCTCCTGGGGACACATTGGGCTCCTAGGGACACATTGGGCTCCTGGGGACACATTGGGCTCCTGGGACCACATTGGGCTTCTGGGGACACATTGGGCTCCTAGGGACACATTGGGCTTCTGGGAACACATTGGACTCCTAGGGACACATTGGGCTTCTGGGGACACATTGGGCTCCTAGGGACACATTGGGCTTCTGGGAACACATTGGACTCCTAGGGACACATTGGACTCCTAGGGACACATTGGACTCCTAGGGACACATTGGGCTTCTAGGGACACATTGGGCTTCTGGGGACACATTGGGCTCCTAGGGACACATTGGGCTCCTGGGGACACATTGGGCTCCTAGGGACACATTGGGCTCCTGGGGACACATTGGGTTCCTAGGGACACATTGGGCTCCTAGGGACACATTGGGCTCCTAGGGACACATTGGACTCCTAGGTACACATTGGGCTTCTGGGGACACATTGGACTCCTAGGGACACATTGGGCTTCTGGGGACACATTGGGCTCCTAGGGACACATTGGGCTTCTCGGGACACATTGGGCTCCTAGGGACACATTGGGCTTCTGGGGACACATTGGACTCCTGGGGACACATTGGACTCCTAGGGACACATTGGGCTCCTAGGGACACATTGGGCTTCTGGGGACACATTGGGCTCCTAGGGACACATTGGGCTTCTGGGGACACATTGGGCTCCTAGGGACACATTGGGCTCCTAGGGACACATTGGGCTTCTCGGGACACATTGGGCTCCTAGGGACACATTGGGCTCCTAGGGACCCATGATGATCAGTTTGTGTTTTGTCCTCCAGGTGACATCGGGGGTCAGATGGGGCTGTTCATTGGGGCCAGTATCCTCACCATTCTGGAGATCTTCGATTACCTGTACGAGGTGAGAGATGGTTCCGGGAGGACTCCACACGCGGGAGGACCCCACACGCGGGAGGACTCCACACGCGGGAGGACTCCACACGCTGGAGGACCCCCCACCCCGGAGG